GCCCCACCCAGAGGTGATGGGCACTGCTCTGAAGTCACCCCGCTGGGCCCGAGCCCTGGCCTGTGCCATCGGCAGAGGACCCTGCGCCGGCATCCTTCTTCTCCGGGCTCCAGGGTCCACGAGCCGGGGGACGATCACCAGGGTCCACGAGCCGGGGGGCGATCACCAGGGTCCACGAGCAGAGGGGAGGTCAACAGGGTCCACGAGCCAGGGACCTATCACCAGGGTCGAGGAGCAAGGGGGCAATCACCAGTTTCCAGGAGCAAGGGGACAATCACCTGATGTAGGAGCAGGGGCCATCCTCAAGTCCCACCCGTGGGTTGTGTGCAAAGGCAGAGGGCGGAATGCCGCCCGGCTCAGACGGTGTGCCTTGGCATGGTGCTGGGACCTCACGCCATGAGCCCCGCGGTGTCCCTGAGGTGGCAGGTCAGGGCAGGCTCCAGAACACCTTTCCCTGGCTGGTGGCTCTCATGAGCCCTCCCACCTGCACTGACCCGTGGGAGGTTCTGGACCGGGCGGGACAGGCACAGATGTGCTTCCAAGTGTCCAAGGGCCACACCTTGCCTTGGCTAGCCAGGGTTGGGCGGGACGGAGAACATGACTTACACTGAGGATCCCGAGAGAGGTCTGCAGGGCGTGAGGCCGGACACACACATGAGACCCTTCAGGGGATATCATGGGACACTTTGTTTCCCTAAACATGTCTTGTTTCTTAATGCGTCTAAAATTGCCAAGTATTCTTTTTTAATGAGAAAAATGTAAGCAAATTTTAAAAATGAAGTCTACATTGTTCTGACAGTGAGGTGAGGACATAAGAGACCCCAGATGGTGGCACAGCCCTGTCCCCTGCAGGAGCCTGTGGTGTCCAGGCGGCCTCATGGCATCCCCAGCCCTCAGGCCTCGCACGAGGACATTTTAGTTTTATCAGCGACACAATTAAACTCCACAAAGTAAATAAACTTCCTCTCCCGGGTCGGTGGCCCCTTGTGTCCTTGAAACCAACACGTCCCTCTCCAGGCGGCCCACAGGGACCCTTTCTGGCTCAGAAATTCTGTGAGCACATGCCTGAGGTCTGGGGGTGAAATTTCCATGTTGACCCCAATTCCCCAAGTTTCTTATCACCATTTATCGTTATTATTTATTGAAAGTCCCCAGTGTTCAGGAAGCTCTTTGTAAATGCCATGGACCCTGCTCAGATTATAAACATGTGGCTATCTAATGATAGCCCTCCTCCTACGCTCTTGGAGCTCAGAGGACACGAGCCCAGAGGGCTTGATTGACTTGTCCCGGGACACACAGCACCGGGGAGCTGGGTTCCCCTCAGGCAGGGGGCACTCCAAGGCCATTCCCTCCAGCCTGACCAGCGCCCACAGCAGGGCGGAGTGGGGATAGAGCGGGTCTATTTACACCAGAGGCAAAAAACCCACTTCCAGCCTGACCTTCAGGGGTCCTGAGGTCTGCCCCGGCCCGAGGTCACCACGCAGGCAGGAGCCTCGGGTCAGCCGCCCGTCTGTGGGATCTGCTGAGCCGTCAGGCCCAGGAGGAAGGCACCGACTGCAACTTGGTGTTTCTCTGCAGAGGTGAAGGTGGTGGGGCTGGGGGACTCCGACAAGCTCAGCATCCTCCGAGGCTGTCCGGGGCTGCCCGGGGCCGCGGGGCCCAAGGGAGACGCAGGGGTCAACGGAGAGAGAGGTAGGTGCAGTGGGCCTGGGGTGGGTGACAGGGGGCCTGCTGTTCTCCAGCTGGACCGGGGGTTGAGCATCCCCCCACCCCTCTGGCTGGAGCTCGGACCTTGCCCTGTGCACAGCCAGTGTCAGAGCCACGTGGGTCCTCTCTGGGTGGAGTCAGACCCTACGTGGAGGGGCTCGGGATGACCCTGGACAGGACACGTTCCTGCCTAGACCTAGGATCCAAGTAAAACGGCCCACTCTCCCTCTGTGCAGGGGTCCCTGTCAAACCCAACAACCTCGCCTTCTCCGCCAAGGCCCAGGACAACGACTCAAGTCTAGAAAACGGTGCTGAGCGCTGCGAGGGGGCCTGGTGGTATTATCAGTGTCACCTGTCGAACCGCAACGGTCTCTGCCTCCGGGGCTCTCACAAGACCTTTGCAAACGGCATCAACTGGAAGTCGGGGAAAGGCTGCATCTACAAGGTGTCAGAGACGAAGGCGCGGCCCGTCTGGCGCAGGGCGGTCCACGCACACAGGGGCCGCAGCCAGGGCTGGTCTGGTCGCTCCCAGGGGAGGGAGCAAGGGTTTGGGGCCCTCACCCTGTTCCCTCCGGGACCCTCTCTGCTTTGTGCCTTTCACCCGCACTAACGCCCTGTCCCCCATCTGCCAGGGTGAGAGCAGGGACCCCGGATCCTGGCAGCCACGCATTTTCTCAATAAAGACATTTGCTTCCACGCTCGGCACACGTGGGCGCCCATCGCTTGCCTTTCCCCGACCGCCCGCTGGTCACGCCGCCCCTGTTTGTTTGTTCGCGCCCCACTGTGGGCGCTGAGGGTGTTTCTGGGGGTTTCAGGTCAGGAGTCGGCACACGGGGCCTGTGGCCGTGCCCCGTTGCCTCTGTGCTCGGTGGCCGCGGTCGGTGGTCCCGTGGCCTTTGTTCTGCTGACAGAGCGGAGTGGCGGAGACACAGACCATGGGCCCATGACCACAAGCCCTAAAATCTTCCCCAGGCAGCCCGTGAGAAAGTGTCTGCGACCCAGGCTCAGAGGTGACCTGGCCTGTCCCAGGCCCCAGCCCCGGGCCCAGCTCTCCCCACTCAGCCTCACTGACCCGCTCCCGGCTTCCCTGGTTCTGAGACACCCTCCGACGTGGAGCAGGGCTGACCATAGGCCTGGGGGTCGCTGAGCAGGACCAAGCCGGGGGGGAGTAAGGCAGCACGTGTGGGTGCTCTGAGCTGCCCAGGGGAGAGACACTCCGCCCGGAGTGTCCAGCGCCAGGCCACCCCACACCTGGCCAGCAGGCACCCGGGGCGTGGGACAGTGGCCACGTGGGCGCCTGCTGGCCCCGGAGCACAGGATCTCACCGTGTCTGGACCTCGCAGCCCTGGATCCTGGGTCCTCCTGGGAATGACCTTCCTTCCAGAAGTCATGATTGCAAAGAGACAATTAAACCTCGAGAAAGCACTTAACCTCTCGAGTGCCACGTCATTATCGTGCCGGGCAAAAATAAGACTGTTAAACGCAGGAAGCTTTCGAGCTGGCAAGCAAGAAATTCTTTGTAAGTTTTGTTCTAAAAATCCATTTAATTGAGAGATAGGTTAAGAGGTAAAAATAATAATTTTGTAAATATTTAATTTGAGCCTTGCTGGACCTCATTTATAAGTGCTCTCTTGCTTTTAGGACTTGAGAAGATTTTTTAAAAAGGACTTGTAAAATTGCAAAGATATTTGAGAGAGGAAAGGGCTCGTGTAATTAACCTAATGGAATAGCAGATTTATTTGCATTATATACATGTGTGCATTGCAGACGTGTGTGGTTGCACAGGCCGGGGATGGGCGGCGGGGGGGCTTGGGAAGATGTAACGAGCACGTGGGCATCTGAAGGGCTACTCCGCCCAGGCCGCCGTAGGACCAGCTGGCCCTGGGGGGCCCTTGGCGGCGGCAGGTGCCTGCAACGCCCGCCCCCCCGCTCCCCCCATGAGGCCTGGTTCCTCTAGGTCACCAGAGCTGCTGCAGGGAGGCCAGCTGCCTCCCAGGACCAGGGTGCTGAGGCCAGCTTGGAGCCTGGGCCGAGGCCACGTGTGTCCCCTGGGCTGGGCTGTCCCCTGCCCTCCCTTGCTGCTCCTCCGAGGGTTCAGGTCTGCGGTGTGGCAAATGGAGCAGGGCCTGTGGGGTCTGTGCACACACCCCTTAGATTCTCAACTGTGGTGGGACCTCTGTGGTCGCGGGAGGGCACGGGGTCCTGCCTGGGAAGCCTCGCTTTGGTGGGAGGGACCTCTGAAGACTCGGGGAGCAATGAGGCCGCCCCGCAAGGTCAGGACGGTGCACCCGGGAGTCCCAGCTGCAGGGGGAGGGCAGTGGTCCAGTCCAGGAGGAGGGGGGCTGTCCTGCGCGTCCACGGCCCCGGGAGGGAACAGTACTGAACGTGTGCACTTAGCCACGGGCGTCTTGCCCCTGAGTTTCCCTCCCCGACGCCCCCTCCTCCCGGGTCCTCTCTCTCACACTTGAACCGCTTCTGGCTTCAGTCTGATTTCTGGTTTCGTCCACCCTGTGCCGTCCCTCGTGGCAGGAAGGCCCTTTCTCCCAGCCAGCATGGGTGGGCCTGTGGAGCCTTCAGGAGCCCTCCATCCCCTGACCCAGTGGCTCTCGGAGCCTTGGGCTCAATTCTTGCTGTGGTCTGGTCCCCCCCCGCCCGCCGTGTCTTGCCTTCCAGCCCAGCACGTGCTGGGAGCCCGGCCTGGGGCTCTGGTGGCTCCCTGCCCCGGTCGGTCATCAGTATGTTCTTGGGGCCCCATGTTGGCCACCCGGTGCTGCCTGAGCGCTGGGGCGTGGGACTCCCAAGGTCAGGGTCCCAGAGTGGAGCTGCCTCCCTCAAGAAGAAGCAAGTCTTTGTTTCACGGGGGAAGTGCCCCGGCTTTGTGTCCACACAGACCTGGGTCTGCCTGGGCTTTGCCAGGTGCAGGTGGTGTGACCTTGGGCCGGTCCCTTGACCTCTCTGCGTTCTTTCTCATGTGCCTGGGGGGGGACAGGGTGGCTCTGAGGACTCTGGAGTAAGGATGGTGGGCACAAAGCTTGGGGTCTGTGATAGCCTGAGGGGTCAGTAATCGTGGTGTGGGCCTTGCCGGCTTCCCCCTGCACCGCCCCCCCAGCTCTAAGGAGCCGCCCTCCCCAGCCTGGCCGCGGGGCTCGGGTCCGGCCTCAGCTTCCACTCTGCAGTCACAACCTGGGAGGAGGAGCCCCTTGGCTTCTCGGTCACTGTTGTAAGCTGCGGCAGCCCCGCCCCCCCCCCCCCCCAGCTTCCCCGTGCCCCCTGCCCCCCTGGCCGCGGGCTGGTCATGGCTGTTCTGCTGGGGGTGTCGGGGGCTCTGCTGCAGGCGCCCCGGGATTGGAGGTTGGTGCCACTTCAGTCTGCATCTCCGGCTGCCCACACTTGCCCAGGGGTGCTCTGAGGGGCAGAGCAGAAGCCAGGCTGCCTGGGGTCTCAGAATTCTCCAGGGAGAGCCTGCTTCCCCCCTTGCTCTCTCCTGGCCTGAGGAACATCCACCCCTCCTCGGAATAAAGCTGAGCTCTGGGGGCTGTGAGGGGCCCCAAACAGTACTGTGCTCTGCCCCCAGCCCGCCAAACCCACTTGCTCTGATCCCTCCTTCCTCTTCGCCCACGTTCACGAGTTCTTCTAAGGCTCCAAAACCTCGGGCATTTTACAAGAAAAGTACTTATAAAGTGTCATCTGGTGGATTTTAGCCTCAGGCAGGTCAGGCGAAGCAGGATATGCTCATCGGAAGGGGATTATGTTGTAGGCTGCATTAATGAAGGCACAATGTTTAGAATTGAGGTGGAGCCACCGCACTCTTGTCTGCACAGATCAGGCCACACCTGTGCCTTAGATCCTGAGTGTTGCACTTCAAAGGAACCAGGGAGGGCGTGCGGTCTGGGTGCGGTTCCGTTGAAGTCTTGCCTCCTGGAATGTGGAAGTAGCCCCAGCGGCTCCAGGGAAGAGCTCGAGAACCAGAACCGCGGTCGTGCGTGTGTCCTGTCTGCGGGCTGAATAGGCCTCCCGAGCGAAAGAGCGGCCTGTGGAGGAACATATCCGTTTGCAGGTGGAATCCATGGAAGGAGGTCTTACAGAGGTGGAAAAGGCTGAGCGTTTCTAGACCCCAAACAGGGAGAGATGGGATTTTGTTAAAGCCCCTGGGGATAAGACCCGTGGACTGTGTTAGGGACAGAGCGGCCCTGCCTGGTACACCGCGGTCTTTGTGCTCAAGCCTGAAAGCCCCCAGCCGGCCTCCGCATGATGATCGAGGCAGAGACGTGTGCACGTCCATTAGCAATAAATCCAGCGCGAGAAGCGCTTGAGGAGGAGTACATGGAGAAGGCAGAGGGCAGGAGGGGCTGGTCGCCGCCGCACTGACCCGCCCCCGGGGGTGTCGGACCATGACCTGGGCAGGAAGCACATCTGTCTTGTCTTACAGCCCTGGGATAGGAAGGTTAAGTAGCTGGCTGTCACTCACCTTGATGCAGAGGTGGCCAGGTACAGATGGACGGTGGACGTGGAAGGGGAGACAAGAGCCCCATATGGGCGCTCTAGTCCTGAAACGGGTCCTGGGGGTGGAGCCCCCGTAGGCCCCTTCCTGCTTCTGTAGCCACACTCGAGCTCCTCCATGTGGTTGTCATGGTCCCCATGACTAATCTGCCATATGGGGCGGGGGCGGCAAATTATCTGATTCCCGGAGCCTCGCAAAGGCCGGAAGCCCCACTCGCCCACCCCGAGACGTGGCAGCAGTCCCAGTCAGGAAGCCGGGAGAGCACGAGCCATCTGGAAATGTCCATCTGTCCCAAAGCATCAAACACGGCCCTCCCAGAGTCCGGCACCTTCCATCACGAGAGGGGCGTTCTCAATGTTAACCAGGGTTGAGCGGTAAACCATCAGATCTGGGGATGGGATAGAAGGTGAGGCGGCTCTGGGCGTGCTTCCATTCAGAACGAGGATCGGTGGCTCCCCCGCCCCCCCCGACGGCCCCCGTGGCGGCCTGTGCAGCGTGGCCTGGGGCAGTGGTCCGTGGCATTGGAGCTCCTCCTCTTGTGGAATTGGCCTTGCCTCCCCACAGAGCTCAGCTCTGGAGGGGGCCTCACAGAGAGCACAGCAGGGAGTTCAAAGTCCTTGATCCAGGAGCCCCAGGAAGGGCCGGCTCTGGGCTGCTGGCCAGGACATCAGAGTCAAGGGCAGAAAGCACATCCAAGGCAAAACAAAAGTACCCCAAAAACCATGCAGGAGAGGCTGGTGAGGCCCTTGAGGCAGCGGCCTGCGCCCCTGAGTAGGGGTTCCAATTCTGAGGAGCTCAGGCATGGTGAGCGGCCTGGGCACGGGGCAGCGGCGTCTGCCTGGTGGCCGGCCCGGCTCCTCTGCTCCTGTCTTCAGGCTGCATCAGCATGAGGGCCGAGACGTGCTCCTGCTCAGGCCTGCTTTCCCGGCCAGCTCCACAGTCCTTTTTAGGACCAGCTTGGCTCCTCTGAGCCACGGGGAGCGGGGCCTCCATTTGCTTGCCCTCAAATCATCCAACAGCACGTGATGGGTCCTAAACCTGAGTGTCCTTCAGAACCATCTGGGAGGGTCTTAAAAATACAGCGTCAGGGGCTCATCCCAGACCTATGAGACCAAGATCTCAGCAGGGAGTTGGATCTGTGTTTGTGGATGGCTTCCTGCTGCTTCTGGCGACGAGCCACGTGAGAAAGCCCACGCGCCACGACCGGCGGGCCGGTGTTCTGTGGACCCCCTGTCCCCCGTGCGCCAACGTGTCCTTAGACCACAGGCGGGAGCAAGCCAAGCCAGAAGTAAATCGGAGCACTAAGAACACTGAGTTGGGACCCGGTTAATGCACGATGGCATGACATGCGGTGTCATGATCCTCGTGTTTCCCATATAGGGTCCCTTTTGCAAAGAACAGTTTAAATGCTTTGAATCAGCAAGCTCACCAGGGAACTTATTTCTGGAGAAAATTTCACGGATGAAGGAAAGTGGTGGCATAGATGCGTTCCTTGCAAAGTCAGGATATATCCAGTCCCCACCGGTAGGAGGGTGACCGTCCCCTCGAACAAATACAGGGTGACCATTGAAACAGGGTGACCATGGGAACTCCAAGGGGGGATAGCTCCAGTCGGAAGACGTGCTCCCAGGAGCCCACGAACGGATGAGAAAACAGGGACCAACCTCTTTGTGAACTCAACGACAAGAGCGGGAGAAAGTCCAGGGATTCTCTTCTGAGGCAGTGGAGGTGACCACAGGCTGAGGAGCCACGGGGACCCGATGTCGCGGGGACAGAGCCGGTCTTCCCGGGGGCTGCTGCCCCGCACAGCCAAGGTGGGAGGCTGAGAGGGCACGGGGCTCACCAGTGCCCAGGAGAGGCTTGCCGAGAACGTGCAGACTGAAGGTGGGGTGGAGGGCGAAAATGTGGCAAACAGACGGGAGACATGGGCACATGGTAAGAACAGATTGCCCGCATGTGTAAGGGGAGCATTTGAAGCAGGGGGGTGGGGTGGACAGAGTCCGAGCGAGCCTCACACACGTGTCTCAGCACAGCCGTGGGGTAGAGGAAACGTTATAAACCGCCTAAGGAACAGGGTCACGTGCCTTCAGAGGAGCAACCCTAAGACTTTGTGCAGAAATAATGGCATCTAGGGGCGCCTGGGTGGCTCAGTCGGTGAAGCGTCTGCCTTCAGCTCAGGTCATGATCCTGGGGTCCTGGGATCGAATCCTGCATCGGGCTCCCTGCTCAGCTCTACCCCTCACCCTGCTCTCTCTCTCTCACAAATAAATAAATACAAAATCTTTAAAAAGAAAAAGAAATAACGGCATCTAGAAATGCTGGACATGCACTCTCAAGGGCTGAGAAAAACGGCCAACCTAGAATTTCACACCCAGGGAAGAGGCTCTTTGAAAGGGAGGCAAGACAAAGCTGTTTTCAGGAAACAAAAGTGGACTGAATTTATCACCAGCAGACCTACATCGAACAGAACAGAACAAAACAAAACCAAAAACCCAAACAAAACGAAACAGAAAGGAAGAAGGAGCAAGATCAAGGCACACAGGGTGAGGGGTCGGACAGGCTGTGACAGCGCCTTGGCACTGGCATCCGTGTCCGTGGGGCTCTGGCAGGTGGATGAAACAGGGTCGTGGCAGCGATGACAAAAGGCAGGAGAGGATGCGGTTCCGGGCGGACAGGCCTAGGGTGGATGCACCGGCTCCAGCATCAGCGTGGGAGGCGTAGGACCAGCATGGATGGACTCAGGGTGAGCTGGTAGAGGGGAAGTGGGGTAATGCAAATACCCAGCGGATACAGAAGGGGGCCAGAGAGCAGAGAGGAGGCGCTTGGAGACAAGGCTGCGGGAATGCCCGCCACCAGCACTTGCAGGCAGGGGCGCGGTGATGCTCCTGTCCGCCTCCCTCCGCCCCCCCGCCGTGGGGCACCGAAGGCCCCGCCCCATAGTTCTCCTGCTTACTTCATTCCCCAAACGCCCACACAGAGCAGATCATGCCGTCACCGAAATGTGCCGATTTGAGTTTAGAAAACTCTTCCTACGTTTATTTTGCCTTTTAAAATTAATGCATGGTTTCTGAAAGCTACAAAACAAAACAAAAAATTTAACTCTTCCCTGATCCTTTACGTTTGGCTTATAGATCTTGCTTTTCTATTCGTAAGACCTGCAAATCTTTGTAGTCAGCTTTTCAGGGCCTTTGAACACTACAGATTTAATTCACTAACTACCCTCAACGCTTCAAATTGCAAAATAAAGTATAATAGATTTAAATTCCTTCTCGGGCAGTTCAATTGTCTAATGAACAGAATCGTCCTCGTGCTAATTAATTTTTAGAAACCTGAGTAATTTCACTTAGAAATGCAATGAGCCCAAAGTCTCTCACGTATCTCAATACGCACTAGGATTTCCACACAATGTTATGAGACTAAGTCAATTAGTTACACATCTAAGATGGGGTTTGTGCGACTTTCTCTATAACAGGGCAAATTCTTTAAACATAAGTCTGAAATATCAAACCTGTCCAGATCCCTTAATACAAAAGTCATAATTCTATGACTTACTGTGTTAACGATTTCTACACTTAATGCACATCTTCGCAGGTTTCTAGGATGTTTACCTCTTAAGGAATAAGGTACCGTCCCAGTGAACACGCTTGGCTTTCCCTGGAGACTGTGGCCAGGACCGGGTGGGATCCGGTCAGCAGGTGGGCTGCAGGACACCCCACTGTGTCAATGACCCGTGATGGGAGGGAAGGACGGGCTACTCGCCCACGTTCCTGGATCCAGGGAGTGTGCGTTCTTTAAAGCTAGCTTTCAACTGTGAATGCAGCATGTTCACAAGAGTGCACACCGTGAAAAGTGTTGCCCCAGTATTTTTACCCCCGTGGAGCCAGCACCAGATCGCCACCCCGGAGAAGAAACAGGACGCGCCGGCACCGCGTGGGCCGTCTGCATCCCGCTCCCAAAAGCCATTGCTGTCTTGTTTCGTTGTGTCTGTTGACTGCCTTCACGTGCACCCCCACATGCCACAGGCTGTCTTTACTTTGGAGAACAGCTCTACGTGGAGCGGGGTCCCCAGTGCACGCTCTCTTGAACCTGGCCTCATTGCGGCTGCGCCTGGGCAGGTGCTCCAGTACCTGCGTCCTTGACCGCACTCCCTGGTGCGTGCCACGGCTCTCTCGTCCCCGGGGAGAAGCGCCTGGTTACGGGGATGTGTGTCCTCAGTTCCCAGCATTAATGCCAAGCTCTTTTCCAAGTTGGGGACATCAGTTCCTGGCGCTTCGGCAGCGTGCGAGAAAGCCCCTATGGCACAGCATCGCTTAGCCTAATTCCATCCGTCCCCACGAGTGTGTAATGGGACCTCCTTCTGGTTCTAATTCACATTTCCCCGAGAACTAATCAAACTGAGAACTTTTAAAAAAATATATCCACCCCGTGGATATCATCTTTTGGGAAGCGTCTGTCCAAATCTCTTACCTACTTTGCACTGAGCTGTTCTAGTGTTCTGATGGATCTGTAGGAGTTCTTTAAGCATTGAGATATGAGACTGCTTTTTCTTTCAATAGTTGGTGATAGGCAGAATCATATACCACCTGCCACTGGTTCCCGCCCTAATCCCCAGAACTCGTGGACTGTGTCACCTTACAAGGCCAAAGGGACTTGGGAGATGGCATGAAGTTAAGGAGCCCGAGATGGGGGATGGTCCTGGATGATGCAGGGGACCGACCTGATCTCCTGTCCTTCCAAGCAGAGAGGCTTTCCTGGCTGTGCTCAGAGGGAGAAGTGGCCTGGGGAGCAGGGCTTGGGAGGTGACTTCGTGGGCTGTGAGGCTGGGGGAAGGGACCTCAAGCCGAGGAATGCCAGTGGAAACTTCTAGAAGCTGCAGAAGGCAGAGAAACAGACTCCCCCCTCGAGTCTCCCGAAGGAACACAGCCCTGCTGGTGACTCGCTTCCTGCCCAGTGAGACTCGGGTAGACTTCAAACGTGCAGAATGCATTTCTGTCGCTCTAAGTCACTACAGTTTTGGTAATGAGCTGTGGTGGCAGCAGAAGGCCATACGTCCGCCTGACGGAGCAGATCCATCGCTCGCTGATGTCCCTTCTACTCTCTTGAGGTGTTCTTTGATAAACAGGAGCTCTTGACTTCAATGTGGTCAAATTGATTAACCCGCTCCTTTGTGTCTGGTGCTTCTAAAATCCCAGCTGAGCGTCTGTCCCTGGCCCAAGGATGGGAAGCGGTCCTCAGTCACCTCCCGTGGGGCTCGTTCAGCCCGGCCCCCCCAGGTCTGCAGGGGCCCTGCAACTGCAGCACACACTGGGCGTGGCGGGCTGGCGGCCCCACGATGTGGTGGTGCCTTCCGAGGGCGGTCCAGCTGTTCTCAGGGGACAGCTGTCTTGAAGCACCCTCTCCACACAGTCAGAAGCTGAAATGTTCCTATGTAACGTTCTCCCCCTTTTTAAAGAGAGTTTTCTAGGTTCAAACGGACCTTGGGATCAGGAAGCACACAACCTACCCCCACAGTGCATTGCCCCCATGGCTCCCCCAGGACCCTGAGGACTGCCAGGACCGCCCCCTCCCCTGGCTAGCGTCCTTCGTCCCCTCCCTGGGCTGCCTGGTCGTCCTCAACTGAGGCTGCCTGCTCTGTCTTTAGCCTTGAGCGGGAAGCTCACCCCTGGATCTGCAGCCGCCCCCACCCTCAGCCTCCCCTCACCACCTATAAAATGGGGCAACGGGTCAGGCCCTGTGCCTTCCTTGGCCTCCCCAGTGAGACCATGTGGGTCAAGGGCACTCGAGCTACAGGGCTCCTCTTCCCAACCTCCCTCCACCTGAGCGCGGTGCTCTCGGCAGCTCCGGGCTCAACAGGTCAACAGGCTCCTGCTGCACCTGCACGCTCGTGTACCAGTGTCCTTGGGACCAGGGCGCTGCTGGGGTCCACGGCTCAGGGCCCCACCTTCAGTGAATGAATGCCCGAGGCACTCCCGGGAGGGCGCTCTGTAGGAAGTGTTTCCCCTAATCATACCACCAGAGATCTTTTGGTGGAGAACGGCCCACAGGGCTCATGTGTCATGGAGCAGTTTGGAAACTAGGCTCTGAGGACAGGTGTGAGATCGGGATCTTCTTCCATGTGCCCGTGGGGACGAGGGTCAGGAACCTTAGGCTCCACACACAGACAGCTCACGGTCACAGAGATGCAGATATCACAGATGGAGAAGCCAGAACACAGGGAGGGCAAGCCCCAGCCCGGGGTCACCAGGGGCACACAGAACCAGGAGGGGAAGCAGGTCCCCTCTGAGCTGCAGCCCAAGCCCCTCAGCCCAGGGTGGACACTACCCGCACTGCCCCCAGCGAAGGCCCCCAGGACGAACTTACACTTCTCGGCCTTGCCCGCCATCTTGAATGACTTGTACTTGGCAAATGACTTGTACTTGGAGGTTGTTTTCAAAGTCCACAGGGTCGACACGGAGCTCGGGGCTCCTGTGGCATGAAGGGTCCCAGCCTTGAAAGTCCTTCTACCTCCAGGCACGGGAGGTGCCGCATTTGGGTAAATTCTTAAGGGATGTGTGAACTTGGCATCCAGGGGGAACTCAAGGGGGAGTCTATGAAAAGCCTCCATTGATGTAAGAACATCTCGGATGGTGCCCTAATTTGAAGAATCCTCCCAGCTAGTCCGTAAGCCATGCCCAGAATTTCAAGATTGGTGTCCATTTGATGGAATGCAGCATGGCTATTTTTAAAGTGTGAGTTCTCCTGCAAACACCAACAAGTTTGAGCCACTGTATTGGTAGCTTCTTCTGCAAGAATTTGAGGCACATCCCTTCGAGGCTGCCCCGAGGGTGCTGAGGGAAAAAAATACCTGCAATTCAGCAGTTTCCCTAGGACCAGCCCTGAACGTACTGTTAGGAACAGAGGAATCGGGGTGAATACCTCTCTCTCGGGGTGCATGTGCCTGTGGGAGACTTCCCATGCCAGACCAGGAGGCAAGGCAGGGGTCTCCATGGGCCTGGATCCCAGTGTTCAGGAAAGGCCGCCAGGCAGATGTGGGAGATGGGCTACCCCGAGTCCCAACACCTCAGGCTCACTTGCTGATCTGGGTTCCAGACACTTGAGACCAGAACCCTCTTCACCCCAATAACCCTGATCCCTCTCATTCTAACGTTCAGAGGTTCTAAGAGCACACATGCATAGGCGGGCACAGAACTAATGAATCCCGCTCAGATGCACCCCAGCAAGAGGAGGGGTGGGGTGCTTGGCTCCAGGGGGCCAGGGCTCAGGTCCAGGGCAGATGGGGGTCAGGGACCTACGCTGGGCGGTTAGGGCATGATGTTGTCATTCCCCAGCCAGACTCTCCCAGCTGAC